GGTGGAGCCAGGACCTGTCAGGACAGGTGAGTCCCAGGGGAGAAAGAGACTCTGGAGCCAAGTGACCAGGTCCAGAAAGAAAAATGGCAACTGTGGTGCATACAGTGCGCGCTGAGCTGCCGCTCCTGTCATCCCTGTTTCCTCAGATAAAGTGAGGAACTGCGAGGGGCTGGGGAGGAAGACGAGCCCAGGTGGGGCCGGCCCTTCAGCAGGCACTCCTACCCCACATCTCAGTTCTTCCTGGGTTCAAGCCTGGAGTTGGAGACTGCGGAGAGCTTTAGGACACTCCATCCGAAAACTGCCCTGTCCTGGGGGAGGAGCAGCGACTGCTAAAGGGTACAGGGTTTCTCTACGGGGTGATGAAAGTGTTCTGGATTTAGAGAGTGCTGATGGTCGCACAACCTTGTCACTAAGCTAAAAACCACTGAGTTGCACACTTTAAAGGGTGAATTTTATGATATGTGGATTATATCCCAATAAGAGGAAACAAAGACAGTCCTGTTTAAACACTTTGTGTCCCCTTTCCATTCTTCCCAGGACAGAACATGCACACACACACACACACACACACACACACACACACACACACTTCCCTGGGACCTGGTCAGCTCCTCCCTCTACCCCTCCTCCCTAGCCTGTCCTGCCCTGTCCCCTTTCCTGCCCTTCCTCCCTTCCTCCTTCAAAAGGGTCTTTCTGGGGCCTCTCTCAACCTCCAGGCTCTGGCGCATGCAGTTCCCTTTGCCTAGTATTTAAACGCCCACTGAGTTCTTATCTGGAGCTAGGCGCTGTTCCCATTTTGTAGATGAGGAAACTGAGGATCAGAGAGATGCAGCAACTTGACCAAGACCACACAGCTGGCAGATAGTGCCGCTGAGATTCAAGTCCCAGAAGTGACGTCAGAGCTCGAGATGTGAACCACTTGGCTCGGTTGCCTTCTACAGTGGGCTCAATAACACCCCCCATTCCCACCCCACCCCCACCCAAGACATCTACAGCCTAATCCCTGGAACCTGTGAAAGGCTTTGCAGACGTGATTAAGGATTTTGAGATGAGGAGATTATCCTGGATTATCACAATCAAGTGTCCTGATAAGTGGGATGCAGAGAGAGATAACAGACAGCAGGCAGAAAGCAACGTGACATGAAATCAGAGAGATTTGAAGATGCTGCGCTGCTGGCTTTGAAAATGGAGGAAGGGCCCATGAGCCAAGGCATGCAGCTCTAGAAGCTGGAAAGAGCCTCTGGAGGGAGTGTGGCCCTGCTGACACCTTGATATCCACCCAGTGAAACTGATTTTAGATTTCTGGCTTCCAGAACTGTAAGAGAATAAATGTGCGCTGTTTTAAGCCACCACATTTGTGGTAATTGGTTACAGCAGCCCTACACAGCTCTGATCCTAGAGGCTGCTGCCACCATGGCCTCATGCTCACCCCAACCTTGGGCCTCTTCTCTCGCTCTCAGCACTGACCTCACCAGGCTGGTGTCATCCTCCAGTTGGGGCAGGCACCAGCTCTGGGGCATTTGCAGAGGAGGGAGCTGAGGCTCAGAGCGGGGTAGCGAGTGCCCCAGTTCATTCAGCTGGCAAGGGACAAAGCTGGATTTGAACTTGGGCGTGTCTGATTCCAGACCTGATACTCTGAACAATTCCTTTCCCAGTAGACACTCAATAAATGCCCCTGAATGAATGACAAGGCAGGCAGACACCCAGGAAACCTAGGGGAAATGCATTGTGATAAGTAAGGCTTATGGGAGCCTCAAGGAGGACAGTTACTCTGCCTGGGCAAATCAAGGAAGGCTTCCTGGAAGTGAGGGCCTTGAAGGAAGAGGGTACTCCAGATAGAGAATATCATGAACAAAGGCCTGAAGACAGGTGGAGTCAGATGGCAGGGAATGTGAGTCGCTTGGGGGGAGCCTGGGGAGATGACACCAGACTCAGGTTGTGAGGGGCCATGGATACCAGGCTGAAGCCTGAGGAGCACACAGAGGTTGCAAAGCAGGAGAGCGAAATCCCCTATACTGTTCTTTAGGAGACAGCTTGAGTGAGTGGCTCTGGGGAGGATGGCCTATTCCAATTTGGAAGCTGCTGAGATAGACAAAAGCTTAGGGGCTGGGACTGAGGCCATAGTGGCAGAGCTCGGGGCAAGGGACCAGACTTTAGAGCCACTTCAGAGGGGGCCCCAAAAGACCTGTTAGCCTGCTGGCCTCAAGGCATAGGGCTGAAGAGGTGTCCATACTCCCATCCAATTGACAGAGGCTGACTTCAACGAACGTAACGAAAAGCACAGAAGTGGATCAGCAAAAACCAGGAAGAGAAATCCAGGCGGCGACCAGGGGGAGGTGTCCCAAAGGCAGCTAAGAGAATAGGTCAGGACTCTGGAGACAGGCTGAGGCTGCAGACAGATGATGAGAAAAAACTGGGGCGGTCATGGTGGCCACAGCTGCAGGAGGAATGAGGTAGTTAGGGAAGGTGTACGGAGAGGTGACCAGGGCCCCCATGATCAAGGAATCTCAAGGAAAGGGTCCTTTCCTTCCTCGCCTGCTGCTGCTGCTGTTCCTGGGTGCAAACCCCAGCACCCATCTGGACCCATATGGAATTGGACCTTTCCACTTTAGGGAAACCTGATAGCAAATTCCAAACCAATAAGAGCAAATAAATGAGTGGTGATTACTGACAATTGGAGAGGGTACACCACAGGGTGCCTCCAAATAGCATCTCCTCCAGTATGTTTTAAGTGCTTTATAGGTCATTAACTACTTGACAGAGAGAGCCTGACACTTAAAGCGAAGAATTCTGCGCCTCTGCCAGGGAAAATCAATCAGAAATGAAGATAGAGCATCGCTGGCGTTCGGACGTACTGGGTGGGCAAACGGGATTCGATTTACACATAATTTTAAGGCCTTCTCCATTGTGTAAAGTGAGGCACGCTGGTATTTGAGGCCATTTATAAATCCCAAACTGGAGCTTAGAAATGCTTAACCTTCCGCTTGCCTTTTTTTTTTGTCACTGTTAATTAAATATTTCAAAGACATGGCAAAGTACAGAGACAAGCTTAAATAGTCCACCATCTGACTGACAAATAAAACATTATATCTATGGTTGAAGCATCCACTTTTTAAAAAATGTTACTCGTTTTTCTTCCTGCCTTTTCAAATCCTTTCTGTTTTTTGGGCCCACCTCTTCAGGGGGACTTACGCTCACCACACACCCCTGCCTAAGACATCACTCCTTCCTCTGAAATCTGAGCGTAATTACTGCCTCTTTAATTAACTTGGCGATTAATCACCACCTGCTTGTGAAACAGCTTTTATTGTCCTTGTCCATCTTGCATTCGGGATGCGGGTGGGGGTGGGGACTAGGCAGGCAGGGGGGGGAGGGACAGGCAAGCTGACCTGTCCTCAGGGCCCAAGGCTGGGCAGGGTCAGCTGGAAGGAGAGGCCTGAGAAGGCCTGATATCCAGAGGGTGAGCCCCCTCCTGGCTCTGTTCAGGCAGCCGCCAGGTACCAGGAACCTAGAGGAGCTGGAGATTAGCCCTAAGAGAGCAGGGGGCAGCTAGGACGGTAATCTAACTTGGGCAGCCTCAAGGCTTCTGCTCGTGCTCCCCTCTGACCAGAATGTCCTTTCCTCACTGAGCCTTGTTGTGGGTTGTATTGTGTCCCCCAAAGAGATATATTGAAGTCCTCACCACTGGTACCTGTAATTGTAACCTGATTTGAAAATAGGGGTTTTGCAGATGTAATCAAGATGAAGTCATACTGGAGTAGGGCGGGCCCCAATCCAATGACTGGTGTCTTGATAAGAAGGCCAGGACAAGACAGAGACACAAGGAGAACTCACTGTGCCACCAAGCTGGCTCCTCTACATGCCTGAATCTGGCTGCCCAGGATCCTAATTTTTCTGGTCTATTAACCCTCCCCCTCTCCCCCAACTCCAGGAGCAGCTCCTACACCCTCCTTTGTCAGAGGAAGCCCTCTTCCCTATCCCTTATCAGATATCACCCCACAATTGAAAGGACCCTGAGGAGTTCCCAAGGACTGCCCTACCCCCAGAATAGCATGCCTGCTCAACTCAGTTGCTTCTCCCACCTGCCCCCACACCCTCAGAGGGGGGCAAGGTAGCCTGGTTTGAGCAGAGTGCTTCCAATTTCCCCTGTGATTTAGAGAGGAGGGGGTCCCAGGGAAAGAGAGGGCCCAGCAGGCTACCGGGATTTTAACGTGGAGGCTGGGGCTGTCTCATTCCTACTGCCAAGCTCATCTTTCTAACACATCTTCTGCTCTGATCCAACACTCTCTTTTGATAGATGGGAAACTGAGGCCCTGACACTCCACAGGGCCTCGCTGTGAAGAGGAAGTCTGAGGTCCAATGATGTAAGCATGTCCCAGTTTCAGTTCTGTCATTCACTCCCAGGGGATAGCATTTCTGTGCACCGCAATCTCTCCATTCTTGAAGAACAGTAATACCATCTTCTTGGGGTGTTACCAGCCGCAAAGATAGCTCTAAAAATCTGTATGTACATTTTTTATAAATTCAAGCTAACACGTTTTGAGCACCTTACTGTGTGCCAGGTCCTGGAGATACCAGTGGGAGCAGCACAAACCCTGTGTCCCGACCTTAAGGTGCTACCTATTTGGTAGAAAAGGACAAAAAAAAAGAGTTTTATTTTGGGTAGTTAAGTGTTATGATGGGGTGCACGGAAGCAGCGAGGAAAAGTCTGCAGATGTCAGGAGGGCCCAAAAGAGGAGCGGCGGCCACAGGAAAGACAAGGCAAAGAATGAAACCCTTAATCTCCCACCCCCACTGCCCGAGTCCCGTCTTCGTCTCAGCCAATCAGGTGTCAGCATTGCCGGCTGGCCAACCAATCAGGAACAGGAAGAGGAGCGCTAGTCGCCGGCCGCAGTTTCCCCCAGGAGGGCGGCCAGAGCCCTAGCGCCCCGCCCGACCCCGCCCTCTGCCTGCCCAGGCTCCGCCCCAGACCACGCCCCACCCCGCCAGCCGCGCCTGCTTGTAGCCCCCTCGCCAGTGGCCGATCGTTGGGGCCGAGTATTGTCCGAAAGGCCAAAAAAAAAAGGAAAGAGGGAGGTTGGGGGACAGCTACGTGACCGGGAGAGGATTTATAACATTTTCTTTTGCCACCGACAATATTGCAAAATGTATGAAAGAGACAGCATCGCTGGGACAGGAGCGTGAGGGCGCGGGCAAGGTAAGCAGCCCCCCCCCTCCTCCGGCGGGAGGATCGCATCGGGGCACCATCCCCACACTGAGCGGCTGTTGCGGGGTCTGCGCGGGTCCGCGCTCTGAAAGGTCTTGTGAGCCGTAAGCGGTGTGAACGCGGTCCCGAGCTAAGGCATCTATGAGGCGGTGTGGACTCGGCCCCTGAGCGGGGGGCGTCTTCTGTGACCCGAGGGCCGCCGAGGCGGTGTAGACGAGCGAAGGTGGTCCCACCGAGGCGCCCCCGGAGCCCCGAGATAGTCCAGACTGATCCCTAAGCCTGAGGTTGGCAGTCCGCCTAACTCACAGCAGGTGAGACCGCGGAGGCGCGGACTATGCCCCAGGCACCCTCCAGAGACCCGGGGGCAGGTAAGGCAGTGCGGACACGCGCTGGTGGTTGAGGCGCTGCAGAACCACGAACAGGTGTTGGACGCGGGCGGGTGGCAGACGCGGAAACTTTGCTGGAGCGCGCGCCGCGGGCGGTGCGGAGCAAGGTCTGGGAGCAGCTGGAGGCGCGGCGCTGGGGGCTGGGACCCGGTGCACCCCCACGTGGTGTTTCAGCCGCCTCCCGGGGTAGATGGCGGGAGGAAGTCCCAAACCCTGGCCTCGGCTGCTGCAGAGGAGATTCACTTTGAGCCTTTCAGACAAGTTCACCAAGCGCCCTCTCTGCCCGCTGAGGCTGCGGTATCTCCATTTCTTCACCTGTGAGGAATCAGGGACAGAGGCCGGTTTGGTGTCCTGACACGCCACACACTGGTAATCAGGGAATGCAAGGGTCTGGTCCAAGCTGGGAGCCCAACTCCTCTCCTTCCACTTCTGTCTCAGTGAGGAGAAAGGGTGCCAGAAGTGGCAGGGGAGGGCTAGGGGGTGCAGATGGTACCCGAGGGGGTGTACGGAGGCCCTGGGTTGGGACCCCTAGATCTGCCTTCCACTGCCATTGTGTGGCTCCAGGTGGCCTCACAGCACCAGGCAAGGGAATGAATGGAGGAGGGAAGGCAGTGGTGGAGAGGGAGCAGACTGATGCTCTTGCCCACCTAACTCATCCCCGTGGGATGCTGTGCCTGGGATGCTGTGCCTAGGGCAGACCAAGTGGGGCAGGATATCTGTATGGCACTGTACTGTAAGGGAGGAAGACACCCAACCCCTGTCTCTACCACAGGGAAAGGGCACAAGGAGCCAGCAGTCTGGAGGAGGCACCTATGTGTCCAGGGTGGTTCTTGGGGTTCCTCAGTCTCATCTCCCACTGCTCTCTGTGTCTTTTGCCCCATTCTTACTCCCACACCCTCCTTGTCTCTGGGATTCCTTCTACCACAGCTCCTTTGCACATGTTTATTTTTTTGATCAACAAGTAGTCCTCAAACATCTATGTCCTGGGCATGGGTAACTCAGTGGTGAACAAGACAGGCCCAGCCTCTGCCCTCATGGGACTTCCAGACCAGTGCAGGGACATAGATGATGAACAACAGCCGGAAGGGAATGGGGTATGGCAACGGGAGGCAGCCGGGGATGGGCATCAGGAAAGGCTTCTCTGCAGAGGTGACAATAAGTCAGAGGGATTAATGCGTCCTCATCCTTTGGGCCCCAGGAAGCCTTGTCTGACCTCCCTGACATGACACGTCCCTATGACAAGCTCTTGTCACCTGGGGACTACGCCTTCCATGGACACTTTTATGTTGTTATTAGATCAATGCTTGTCTCCCCCCATCAATTATAAGTGCCATGAGGGCAGACCTGACTCTCTTCCGGGTAGATTGTAGGCAAAGCAAATAAAGAATGAGTAGAATTTCCCCCAGGAAGACAGTAGCGGCTCAGCCAGGTCTGATATCCAGATGGCAGAAACTTTTTTTCCCCTTCACTGGACTGAGTCCTGGGCTCTACACCCCACTTACCGTTCATAGAAACAAAGTGAAAGAAACCAGCCTGGTAGGGAAGAGAACAGGGAGAGGCCTGGCTCAGATGGCCCACTGAAGTGCCAGGGCTGACCCACTGGAAGGGACGTAGACCTGCTAGGGAGGGTGGGGGAGGTCGGGGGGCAGGTGCCTGTCCTGTTTTCTGAGCTCAGACCAGCCTACTCCTCATCGTTCTGTCCCAGCTCTTCAAATGCTGCTCTGGGAAAAGATGGTGGCCAGCAGGCTTCCCAGGATGGCCGGGCTACGGGGCTGGCTACACAGTAACACCCTGGCCTCCACCCCCCAGCCCACCCCTCTCCTGGGCAGACAGGACCCTGGGCAGTGCCTCTCTGACCCAGAGTCAGGCCTCTGGGCACAAATAGCTGCCCAGGTAAGCTTTAGTTCATTTAAACTCCTGGCTGGAAAGTAAGAATCAGGTCTAGAGGGACTGACTCTTATTTTTATTTTTTGTAGTTTATATACTCAGTGAATTTCTCCCTCCCCTGACTCTGTCAGACCTATGCGCCTGGCACCTTTCCTCTGGCAGATTATGCTCTCAGAGATGCCCGACAAAGCTTTTAGCGTACACTCCCCACTTCAGGGGATTGAGCAGTCTCCGTGCATGCAGGCCTAGAGCGCGTCTACATGCTTTATTCAGGCTCTGGCAGGGACAGAATAAAAGCAGCTTCCCCACCCACCTAGCCAGCCATCCCTCCTGACTGGAATTGCTTTAAAAAATTAATTTGCAGTGATTTACTCCCTTCTGTTCTGTGGGGATCACCAGCTTTTAAAATATGTATTTAAATCAGATTCACAGCTCCCAGATCAACTTGAACCACCTCCCCCCACCCAGCAGAAAGAGCACTGGATTTGGAGTCAGCGGCTCAGAGGTTCAGGCCAAGCTCTGCTAATGATGAGCTGTGTGACCTTGGGCAAATTACTTAACCTGTCTGCGCCTCCATTGGCTCCTCTGGAAACTGAGGTTAATGATAATCCGTCCCTCACAGGGTGTTGTGAGGATTAAATTAGATAACGTTCAGGGAAGAGACGTGCCATGCCAGGTCTGTGTTTTCTGTTCCCCATGACTGGCTGTCCTACTAATTAGCCTGGTGACCTTGGGAAGGCCACTCAGCCACTCTTAGCCCTCAGTTTCTGTATCTGAAAAGCACAGGGGTTGTTCTAGGAGATGAGGCCCCAGAACCCCCCCCCCCACCCCCCCACCCCCGCCTGGAGCCCAGAGCCCCCACTCATCTCCTCCTGTTCTCTGCCCCCTCACCCATCCCTTTTCTCATCATCCAAGCAAGCACTGAGTTCTAATTGGAGATGGTCCCCTTCCCCAGCTGCCTCTCCTCCTGGCTCCCTGTGAAGTTGTAGGGTTTGGGCCCTGGGGGCTGCAGTTCTTGGCTCATTTTCAGGAGCAATTAGCCATGATGTCACATTCCTTGGAGGTGGCCTTAGTGGGCGCGTGGCCAGGCTGGCCTGGAAGCCAGGACTCTGCTGGGTCTGTGGCCTGCGGGGCTCCCCCAGGCTCGGGGTCCCTGTTGCCCGTGGTGGGGAGGCAGCTTCCCAGGCAAAGCCGGGTCCATTTCTGTCCTTTATGACTCCTTGACTCCCGGAGTCTGAGTGTAAATTAGTTCTACGCGGAGCTTTTGTTGGCAACTGCCTGTTCCTTGGAAGCAGGGGGCTTTGTCAGGAAGAACAAAGCTGTTGGGTGTTTTTCTGATTTGGGGAAGCGTGCTCCTGGGGGAGGGCTCCTCTCTTCTCAGTGTCGAGAGTCCTTGGTTCTCAGACTCGCCGGTTTTGTTTTGGGGTTTTAAGTCCTATGGCTTAAGAGTCACATATGTTTGTGTGTGTGTTGGCTGAGGGATTTTTTTCCTCCCTCTTGGCTTCCATAGCATATTCTGTGGAAGCTAATTCCACGGACTGAACTTTTCAAATCACTGCTTCAACAGCTTTTAAAAATCTGGACCTAGTTACTCCTGTCATCCATGTGTAAAGATTTAGAAAAAAATTCCAAACCCGAGGGTGGGCAGCCTGGGGGATGTACGGCTCCTGGCAGTGCACACTCGCTGTCGACCTGGGGTCAGAGCCCAAATGCCGAGCGCCTCTTGAGATGGGGGGGGGGGGGGGGGGGGGAGCATGGTCTGCTCCGTGCCAGACATCTGGATATTTAGAAAACATCTGGGTGGCTGAATTTTTCAGGTTTCTGCCTGACATTTAATATCACAAACATTGAGCCTGCCTCCCGTACCCCCCCTCCCCTGCCTCCCAAACACACCCAGCCCCTCCCCACCCCCTTCCTGATGGGTAAGAAACATCCATTCTTTCCAATTCCCCAGCGTTTCTCCCCCTACCGGAAATCTGATGGGCTTATGACATCATGGCTGGCTGCTGAGCGATGAAGTGGATGCCACAAAGAAATCCGACATATCAGATGGCTTCTGAAATCAGTTCCCCTCCGGCTGTAGTAACAGGCCTGAAGTCAGGAGAATGTGAGCTTTGTTTAAAAAACAAAAAAAATAAACCTAAGCCTTGCCCTGTATTAAAGACAATTTTTTAAAGCAAACAGACCTTTCGGACATTATCTTATTTTACTAGAAATGCTAAAGGAAAAAGGCTAACAAATCAAACCTGAGGCTGCGTGTGAACGTTCCGTTTCTGTTGAGTTTTTGTGTGTCTTTATTCACTATGGAAGGAGTGGTTCATCTCCCCTCATTACCTTGTTATTCAAATGCAATAGCTTTTTTTTTTTTTTTGAGACCAATAAAATTCACAAGGTACATTGCTGGTTCATGTTTTTCCAGGAATCCATTTTTATGGTGTGACCGTGGACCTGACCTGGTCTGCAAACATTGTATTTCGTTCTGCTGTTTTTTTTGCCTGTGAAACTGTTAAAAGGATGCAGTTAAGCCTGTTTTTCAGTCTCCCCTCCTCAGGGCAGGGCATGACTGGTGGGCCAGGGTGGTTTTTGGGATGAAAAACCTCTTCAAAAGGACAAAGTCAGGAGGGGAACAGACAGTAAAGGGACCTATGACGTAAGATGCAGGGCAATCCACTGTCTTCTCTCCTCCCAAAGGGATGCGAGGACTTTAGTAATAGCTCCAGGCTGAGAGACCTCACCCCTGATGCAGGCCCAAGTTAAGGAGGGCTCAGGGTTTCATGTGTCATGCCTGTAAGCCCCCGGTGAAGGCATTGAGAGTCCAACAGACCTGCACTGGAGTCCCAGCTTGTGGACAAGCTGTGGGGCCCTGGGCAAGTCACATCACCTCTTAGTCTCCGCCCCACGAACAATGACCTTGCCGTGCTGTCCGGGAGAACTGAAAGTGCTGGACAAGCCACGATGCCCTGGCACTTCAAAGGTCCCCAGGTCCACTATAGAGCCGGGAGAGACCAGTGTCGATTCTGGAATTGAGTCCATCGCCTGGGTTTGCATCCCAGTTCTGCCAGCCATTATCTGCATGATGATCTTGATCTGTGTGATGTCCTCTGTGCCTTGGTTTCCTCATTTAATAATACTAGGACCAACCTCATACATGGGCTGTTGTGAGGACTGACACAGTGAGTGCTCACCAAGTGTCAGCTGTTACCGCGAAATGTGCCCCTGAACCCGCACGCAGGACGCCTGGTAGGACTGTTGGGCCTGGAATGGGAGGGGGTGCGTCAAGCTCAGCACAAGTGAAGGATCAAGATCAGCCCTCATCTCTCTGCACAGAGCTTTCCATGGCTCCCCATTACCCAAAGGGAATAAAGCCCCCTCCTTATCTGGGCCCCAGGCAACTCACACTTGGGCCTCGCGCACTGTTCTCTCCCATTCGTCTGCCCGCCCAGGCAGCTGGAGCACGCTGCCTTCTTTGGATGAAATGCTAATGGGTAGGTCACGTTTTTGAGCACCTGCCATCACTTTATTCTGGGCACTTTACATGGTTCAACTCACTTGATCCTCACAGCAGCCCGTGCGGGGAGTATAGTTATCATTCCTATTTTAGAGGCGAAAACGGACACCTCAGGGGTGAAGTATCTTGCCCAAGGTCCCAGAGCCCTGGTTGGAGCCAGGGGTCGGGCTCCAGGACCCATCCATGTAACCCCAGCCCCACTGGGTGTCTTGGGTCCTCTCCACTGTTTCCTAACTCACCCTGCAGCCAGAGCACCTACCTTCCCAGAGTGCCCACCCCACCTCTGTCTGCCAAGACTCTTATGCCAGCACGGCCAACAGGACTTCCCAGATCACCCTCCCACCCTGTTGAAGGAATGCTGGAGGTGTCTCACCTGCCCCTCTCAGGGGGTGTGGCTCTCCATGGCTGGCCCTGGATCCTCTTGTCCACCTCTCCTAGAGGCCAGGAACTGGGCTGTGGCCAGTTCTGTGTCACCCACAAGGCCCTGAAGGCCAGGTTAGCAGGCATTTACTGAGGACCTACTATGTGCAAGACACGGGGCCTCATATGGCAGGTCCCCGCACCCAGCCTAGGCTTCTCTCCCAAACTCCAGACCTGTCCAGCCAATGCTTCTGCCACATCTCCATTGGGATGGCCAGCGAGCAGCTCCGCCTCAGCAGGTGACAAACTGAGCTCCTCGAATTCACCCCAAACCTGCCCCACCCCCGCACCCTTCCAATCTCGTGTAATGGCGGCTCCATTTTTCCACTCCCTCCCTTGCTCAGGCCCAAAACTTTGGGATCATCCTTGACAGCTCGCTCTCTCTCTCTCTCTCTCTCTCTCTCTCTCTCTCTCCCTCTCTCTCCTTCCTTATTTAATCCATAAGCAAATCCTATTGGTTCTACTTTCAAATATATCAGCAATTGGAGCCGTCTCTCCACATCCGCTGCTACCACTCGCATTGCCCACCTGCATGAGCCTGCTCACAGGTCTCCTTCCCCCTCGGTGCCTGGGATCCATTCTCCACACAGCGGCCAGAGTGACCCTGCTAGCACTGAGGTCAAACCCTGCCGTCCTCCTCCCAGAACCCTGCAATGGCTCCCAGCCCATTCAGGTTCAGGGTCCTGCTGGTGGACCCTGCTTGTTCCCTGTCTGACCTCAGCTCCTGCCATCCCCCACCTCGCTCATTGACCTCCAAGCTATGCCTCCAACATACCATGTGCGTCCCCACCTCAGGACCTTTGCACGTGCTGATCCTTTCCCTAGTATGTTGTTTCCTCTGATATTTACATCACTTCCTCCTTCACCCCCTTCAGAGATCTGAGCAAATGTCATCTGCTCAGAAAGACTGTCCCTTCCCCGCACCCCCCATCCTTTCGCCATGCTCTCTCTCCTCGTACCACTCGTTCCCACGTGACCTTACACATGTATGTAGATGTTGCTAGAACGTGACCTGCATTAGAGCAGGGCTCTGCCTGTCTTCTCACTGCTGTATTCCTGGTGAATGAAAGGATAGATGGATGGATGCCGTGGAGGGACAGCAAGTATTGAATGCCTTATCTGTGCCAGGTTCTGTGATGGGTGCTGAGGTGACATGTGAGACAAGGCCCCCGCTCCCTCAAAGAGCCCTCGTCTGGGGAGGGAGCCAGGCACTGAGCGGGGGAACGGGGCAGCATCCAGGAATGACCTCAGAGGAAGAACTGGTCCAGCTGGTCGGAGGGAACTTCCTGAAGAAGGGGTCACACACGTGACCTGAAAGGTGAAGAGGAATTGGGCAGGAGGAGGGTTGGGCGGATAGGAGGGCGTGTGCTCTGGGGGCTGATGGGCAGGGAGGACTAGGTGGGGCCTTAAAGGTCAGTAAGAGCCACTTAGGGTGGAGAGAAGGGCAGGTCTCCCAGGTTGGGGTTACTGTGTGCACAAAGGCCCTGGGGTGGAAATGGACAGGGCACACGTGTGGGCAGCTTGGCCAGTGGGGACGGATTGGGGAAGGTCGTCAGTGCAGCCTGGAGAGGTGTCAGGAAGAGCCGCGGAGCCAGGTTCGGAATCCCAGTGCTCCCTCTCCGAGCCTGTGATCCTGGATGCACCACTTGCCCTCTCTATGGCTCAGTTTTCCCATCGGTGGGCTGTTGACCGCGTGATTTGTGCTGCCTCACCAGGAGAATAAGACTCAAGCGTGGAGGGACTGAGGGTAGGGAGAAGTCTGCTGGCAAGAGCATGGTCAGCAGGGGGAACAGAATATGCAAAGACGTGGGCCCTTCTCCCAGGTTGCATTTTTCCAGTCCTGCCTTCAGCGAGCAGAGAGGCAGCCAAGACAATGATGGGGTTGACCTGGCTGTCCCCAACGGGGGCTAGGCCTGGGGTGTGCCCGGCTCTGCACTCGAGGAGCCACCAAAGTTTGGCCTCATACTCTGCTGAACACCGCAGCCCTGAGACACAGGCCCCTCCTTGACGCTGGAAAGCAGACAGGTGACCAGCAGCTTCGTTAGCACATAGCTGGTAAACGGCAGGCGAAGGACTTGAACCCAGGCCTGCCCGGCCCCATTCCCACGTCTTTCGGGTGGGCTGGGGGAGCTGGTGCCAATTCTGAGGGAGCCGGGGTCACACAAGTGAAAGCCTGCTCATGACAGGCTCCGAGGTCAAATCCCAGCCCCCACTACGGGGCTGCTCTGATCAAGGCCACTTCCTCCTTTGGGGAGGTGAGTCGGGCCTCTGGAAAGTTCTCTGAGCCGCTCCCATTGACTAGTTTCTCTGAAGACTCTGGATGCTCCTGGAATGTTCCAGGATTATTGATTCCCTAAAGCTTCACAGCCACCCCTCATGCAGGGGTTCTTATCCCCATTTTATAGCTCAGGAAACAGCTCAGAGAGGAGGCCCACTGGTTGATTGGGCTGTCCTACTGTGTTCGCTCTCTGACGGCTGCTGTGGGGACAGAGGGCCTGGCTCCATGTGCTGCTGAGAGCCGTGCTCGGGCCTACGGTGGGGGTTTCAGGAGCCAATTTCAGCGCACACTGAGGACTTTCTTTCAGGTTGCCCATGGTGGAATCTTGGCAGGAGTGAGCTCCCCGTCATCACTGGAGTTCCAAGAACCTCTGCATGTGGGGAGGGGGATTAGGTCAGAGGGGCTGTTGGGCTGAGCAGTCCAAATTTCTTTGACCTCTCCAAGCCTCAGTTTCCTTATCTGTGAAATGGGGATATTAATACCCAGCTGTTGGAGGCAATAGGGGTCAAGGAGCTCCATAAAACACTCAGCCCTTTTCTGGCCCATGGAAGTTACCCAGTATGTACCACTGGCCCTTCCAGGGCTCCCAAGCTTCTCCTTATAATGGCCAGGACCTGAGGACAGCGTGGGAAAGGGGCTGCCTCCAGCAGCCCTGCACTGTGGAGCAGCCCCCCAGATCCCCCATTCCTTCCTGTCTGGGGAGCTGGGGGTCCAGGCCAGGGGTGGGCTGGCCCCACACATCTGCCTATCCGTCTCATCTGTCAGCTGGGCTGGGTCATGGCCAGCACCCTGAGTAACTCGGAGGCCCCAGATGATATTTTGGGGAGTGTGGTTTGAGGGCAGATGCGCGTCTCTTGCCACCCCTGACACTGGCCTCCAGGAGGGAGGACTCACATTTTGTCTCGGGAAAAACCTCACTG